TAACCCTAACCCTAACCCTAACCCTAACCCTAACCCTAACCCTAACCCTAACCCTAACCCTAACCCTAACCCTAACCCTAACCCTAACCCTAACCCTAACCCTAACCCTAACCCTAACCCTAACCCTAACCCTAACCCTAACCCTAACCCTAACCCTAACCCTAACCCTAACCCTAACCCTAACCCTAACCCTAACCCTAACCCTAACCCTAACCCTAACCCTAACCCTAACCCTAACCCTAACCCTAACCCTAACCCTAACCCTAACCCTAACCCTAACCCTAACCCTAACCCTAACCCTAACCCTAACCCTAACCCTAACCCTAACCCTAACCCTAACCCTAACCCTAACCCTAACCCTAACCCTAACCCTAACCCTAACCCTAACCCTAACCCTAACCCTAACCCTAACCCTAACCCTAACCCTAACCCTAACCCTAACCCTCATACTAACCCTCATGCTAACCCTCATGCTAACCCTCATACTAACCCTCATGCTAACCCTCATGCTAACCCTAACCCTATTTTTAACCCTGACCCTAACCCCATGCCGCAACCTGATCCTATTTGCATCAAAAACACATCAAAATATGTCGTTTATAGGGTTATATTTCACGAAAAATCCGCTCGCGCGTGCGCTGCGCGTGGGCAAAGTCGCGACTTTCGCCCATGCTCGCTTCGCGCTTCGCGAACCAGGCAGAAGTTCCTCAAGGAGCGGCGGCTTTCGGTGGTCCTGGTTGACTCCTCGCTTTCGGTTTGCTAACTCGCGTGAACGCGCAAACAGGCTTAACCAACACCACTTTATTTTTTGCCTGACATCAGTAACGCCGGCTCAAACCGCATATGCATTTCGCATCGAGCAACCCCTTCATCGACACACATCGACATCGAGAGCATCAAACCCGAGACCAAAAGCAGGCGAATCGGCCTTCAAACAGAAATCATCGTGAGCAGCATCCACGAAGAGAGGGTCGCCAATGACAGATGCCCGGTCGTAGGTCAAAGTCCACGATGACCAGTTCCCGAGGGCAGTCAAATTGCCATTGCCGAAGAAGGATCGGTCATCAAAGGCCCAATACACGTTGGAGTCAGCAAAAGCCAACCCACTCCGCTTCCATTGAGCCTTGTTCCACAGTCTCCCTTGCGGCACGGCCGACGAAAAAGCCACTACGTTCCGCTGAAAAACGTTCGCCCGCGTAAAGTTGCCCAAGGCCTGCACCATCAAGACCCCGGTCGTAGTGTTCGAGTTCGTGGCGCCGTAGAAGACGTTGTTCTCGACAGTGTTGCCAAAGCCATTGTGAAAGAAGACGCTCGCTGCCTCCGTCCGCGCGACGACGTTCCCTCGAACCGCGTAGCCGGACGCCTCATTGTCGAGATAGATTCCAAAGCTCATAAAGGGCGAAGTCAGTTTCGGGCCCCCATCAATCCAGGAAGACCAGGCGCCAATGACATCCACCACGCGATTGTTCAGGATCACCGAGTCGTCTGGAGACGCGCCCGGATAGGCAATCAACGAAATTCCGCCGAAGTCCTTCGTCGTCAATCCCAAGTACCGCAGTCGGTTCCCGACCACAGTGTTGTTCGTAGACCGTGCCCCTTCAGCAGCGTTCGACCGAATAGCGATGCCCCATCTGCTGGAATTATCGATGCGATTGCCGGAGATGACCGCGTGCGCACAGCACGAGCAAAAGACGCCGCCAGCAGAAGCGAAAACTTCCCCGACGCCAGTCATCGAGTTGTTGGTGATGGCAGCTCCTGTCGTCCTGGTCGTGCCGTTGCCCACCAACGCAACACCAGATTGACCGAGATGCGCGAACGTCGAATTCGAGACAGAGAGTTCCGTCGTCGACGTTGCCGTGACGCCACCGCCGCCCAGCTCAGAGAAGACGCAGTTCTCGATTTTGACGCCACTGCTTCCAGACACGTGAAGAGCCGCATCGGTAGGAATGCCGATGGACTCCGCGTCGACGGAGAACCCGTTCTGGAATCCGAGGTATCGCGCATCCGTGTCGCTGAACGTCACGCTCTCGATCACAACCTCCTTCGAGGACTCCACGGCGATCACAGTCGTCGCACGCGGCACGACGACTTGCCGCGGCGCGCCCATCGACGAGTACAAGTAGAGCACGTCTCCGTCGCGCGCCCACTCGTCGCCGTCCGTCAAAAACGCACGAGAACCGTACGCGTAAAGTCTAGCGCCCGGAGCAAGTTTGCCGTCGTAGCCGGTACAGTTCTTGTCCGCCTCGGCCGGGCAGGAGAGCTCGAACCACGTGCTCGTCGTCGTCGAGACGCCGTGCAGCTCCAACCAGTCGAGCGTGGCGTTCGAAGCCAACTGAAGCGTCGCCTCGAAGTTGTTCCAGCCCGAGTGCGGCCAGACCATGGCGCTGCTACGAAATGAATCATGAACAGGCTCCGCCGTCGAAGTCGCGAGCGTCAACGCCCAGAGGTCGTCGCGCACGAACGACGTCTGGTTCGCGTAAAAGTACTGCTCGGGCGCGGCGGGGTCGTCGCGCGCGTCCGGCGTGCGCGCTCGGCTGGCCCGCTTGCCGCCGACCATCAACGTGCGGAACGACACATGAGCCTCGGGAAGAGCGCACGACCAGACGTTCGCGGCTTGCTCGATCCAGCAGTCGTCGTCGAGTCTCGAGCCGGCGGAGACGACGGCTTCGTGGCCCCCGCGCAGCGTCACGTCTTCCAGCCCGCCGAGCGCGAGCGGCGGCTGCTGGAGGTAGTACCACCGACGAAGACGACCGCGTGCGGCGCAGCTCATCAATCGCCGCCTCGAGCGACGCGAATTCCACGGCCGTGGACCCGCTCCGCACGACGACGCGCGGCGCCGTGCCGCTCGACGCGATGCAGAACAGCACGACGGCGGCGATGGCGCGAAGCGCCGCCCCACGGTAGCCGCACCGCACGCGGCCCATGCCGCCCAGCGGCAATGCTCTCGCTTGAACCAATATTGAACATTTGAGGGGCAGCTCGCAGCACGATGTTCGTGACCGTCTCGCGTAAAACCACCAACACGATCAACCTCGTCGCGCTCCTCGCCTCCTCCGCCAACGCATTCCACGACTGCGTCGAAGCCGCCGCGTCGAAGCGCGCGCGCTTCGCGACCGCGGACGCCTGCTCCGGCGGCCTCTGCCTCGGCATGCACGACGGCCCGCACGAAGGCGGGCCAGCCTCGTACCCCGTGGCCTGGGGCGCCGACGGGTTCGGCACGAGCCTGAACTCGACGATGACGGTCCGGCACCGCGAGCGAGAACTTTCGGCGCGCGCGGTACAGTTCTCGCGCAGGTGCCCGCGTACCCGGCCGCCATCGACGGCATCACGTACTACATGTGGACCGACGTGTTCTTCGGCGACGCGGGCGACGGCCGGATGAACCAGTTCGTGCCGCGCGTTCGACGGCGTCCCCGCGCGCGCGTCGCGCGCCGCGGACGCGCCGCCGCGCGCAGGCAGCTCTTGCTCGGGTCCGTCCTCGACTCGTCGTCGGGCGCGCCGGAGTACTCGCCCCACTGGCACTCCCACGCGACCTACGTCTTCGCCGCGCACTACTTCTTCGAGCTCTTCAACGAGACGACCAACGAGACGGACGCGCACGCGGCCTACGGCGACCTCTTCCCCGCGGAGCCGGGCGAGACGCTGTGGACGTCCTTCGCGCTGTCGCCCGGCGGCGACGGCGAAGATCTCAAATCGCCCCGGTGGACGCTCCAGATGGGCGTCGTCGGCGACGCCGCGCGGACGTCGACGCTCTCGATCGACCGGCCCTACATGGGCCTGCGACTGCACCAGACCGAGTCCTGGGCCGAGCCGGCCTACAAGAACATGTGCCTGAACGCCTGCTGGGAGCTCTACGGCGCCGACGACGCCGCGCACCTGCCCTCGAGCGGCGCGAACTACGAGCTCTCCGTGACGAAGCCGCGGCCCGACGCGTTCGACTTCGCGCCGCGCTGGGACCAGGACGAGGGCAAGGGCGTCTGCCCGCGGACCGTCGCCATCGAGGAGAGCCACGACGAGGCGACGCAGTCCGTCTCGTGGAACATCTCCGTCGATCCCTCGCCTCCACGGTCCGCCTCCTGGAACGATCCGCTGCACTCGCAGTCCGCCGATCCGCTGTGGGACGCGTGGCGTCGGACGCGAAGCCGCGTCTACGCGTCGCCGCGCGAGGCCGCCGCGCGCCGCCGCGTCTTCTTCGACAACGTCGCCCGCTACGAGCTCCGCGGCGGCGCCTACGAGCTCGACGAGTACGCCGACTGGACGGCCGAAGAGTTCCGCGCCACGCGGTCGTGTGCCGCGATTACGTCCAGCGCCGCATTTTGCCCCGACGCGGCTCCGTCAAACTCGACGGGCTCCGTCGACTTCCGCGGCTCCCAGGTGACGCCGGTCAAGGACCAGGGGGCCTTTGGCACGTGCTGGAGCTTTGGCTTCGCGGAAACGCTCGAAGGCCTCGGCGTCCGCCTCGGCCACGAGCTGACGAACGTCTCGAACCAGATGGTCATCGACTGCTGCCCGGCCTGCCGCGGCTCGGGCCAGGACGCGTCCTACGACTGGGTCGTCTCGCAGAACCAGGGCCGCATCGCCACGATGGACTCGTACCCCTACGCCGGCGATCCAGGCGAGTGCAAACACCCCGCTCCTTCCGTCCCGTTCGTCGTATCGGGATGCGTGCGCTCGCGCGACGACGCCGACGAGTCCGGGGCGCCGCTGCTCGCCGCGTTGATCGACCACGGGCCCGCGGCCTTTGGCATCGACGCGACCTGCCTCCAGGGCTACAAGTCCGGCGTCATCACGAATTGCACGACGACGGGCATCGACCACGAGGTCCTCCTCGTCGGCGCGGGCGTCGAGGCCGGCGTGCCCTACTTCCTCGCCAAGAACTCCTGGGGCGCCAAGTGGGGCGAAGACGGCTACTTTCGCTTCCAGCAGGCCGGTCGCCAACTCGGATTCGGCTCCGCGGTGCACGCAGTTTAAGATACTACTGTTTCCCCCCTTGATAATCATACATTAGTATATTGTCGAGGGCTCCGGCGTCAAAAGAACTCCGAGTGAAACGTCGCGCCGTCATCGGCGGGCTCACCTCCTCCTCCCGCGCAGCCGCAGCCGCCCGGCTCGTGTGACTCGCTCTTGTCGTCGACGTACTCTCGAAAATCCTCCGCTCGCTCCACGTCGCGCGCGCAGACGTCCCGCTCGCTGGACTCCTCCTCCAGATCCACCACCTCCTCGTCCTCGACGACGGTCGGCGGCGCCAGGGCCAGCTGGAGATCGGTCGCGAGTGTCAGGAGCTTGGACTTGCGCGGCCTCTTAAAACCCTCCCCTGAAACTTGCCTCTTGATCCAGTCCACGCCCTCCTTCTCGCGTTTCAACACGTCCTCGAGCTCGACGTTCAAGTCCAGACAGACCATGCGAATCGTCACCTACGAACGACACAGATAATTCACCGCTCCATTTTCACAAAACGCACCAGGGCAATGAGCGCGAGGGGCGCGACGACGCCGACGAGGAAGAGGATGTGGCGGTACGTGTCCTTGGTCGCGTCCCGCTCCTCGCTCATGTCCAAGCATCGCGCGTGGGTCACGAAATACACCAAGACGATGATCTGCGAGGAGCAGCGCGCGAGAAAGTCGTCCTCGCTGTCGACGTAGGGCGCGGCCGCGCCGACGAGCGACGCGTAGATGTGCGACGGCGGCGGCGGCGGCGCCGCCGCGGGCGTCGTGTCCGCGTTGCCGATGTCCTCGAAGGTTTTGGCGGCCGCGGGCGCAGGGGCCTTGCCCGTGGCGCCCTGGAGCTGGTTCGTGATCTCCTGGAACGCCACGCGCTTCTTCTTCTTCGCGGACTTGACGTCGTTCGTGTCGTCGCCGTCCTCGCCCGTGGCGTTGAGCTGCTTGTAGTTGCGCCGGGCCCCGCGCGACTTGCGCCGGGGGGGCGCGGAGTCCTCGGGGGGCGCGGAGGCCGCGGAGACCTCCTTGTCCTTGAGCGTCGTCACCATGTGGATGCGGAACGCTCTCGGGGCTGCCCCGGGCTGGTTCGTTTCTCTGCGAGGCGTGGAGAGCCGCTGTACGTATGTGCTCCGTTGTGAGGTCCGCTGGCTTTCGTGGCAATTGTGATACAAAGATGTAAATCCTAGGGGTTTTTATAAAACTCGCCTTGTTTTGATCCGCTGCAACTTGTTTTGATCCGCTGCAATTTGTTTTGATCCGCTGCAACCCAAACGTTCAACTTGTTTTGATCCGCTGCAACACTTTTTCTTGAACAAGGACGTCACGGCAAGACTAAAAAGAAAAAGGTGCTTGAGGTGAAAGCTGAAGAGAGTACCAGAGGCTGCCCAATGGCCGCGCTCTTCGGGGATCCAGCATTGCCAGACGGCATCTGCTCGCTGAACTGCTCGACGGAGGAGCACGCCGTCAACGACTTGATCGGCCGCTCGTTCGCGGGCACGCCGACGACGGACCCGGAGTTCAGCGTCGACTGGTGTCTCGGTCCTGGGCTCGCGGATAGAGGCTCGCCGCTCCGCGCCGAGGCCGCGGCCTTCTTCCTCTCGTTCAGCGCGGCGCGGTCCGTGGCGCGCCTCTGCAACTTCCGCGCGTCGTCGACCGTCGATCGTCGTCGCGAATCGAATTCCCGCCGCCCGACGAACCACAGTCTGCTCCTCGCGATGAAGACACCTCTCGCAGGTTCACCGTCCGACAGCACGGCTATTGGACGCGCGGCTTGACGCTGGCCGTGCGCGGCGACGACGGACAGCTCCAAGCGGTCTGCGTGTGCCGCAAGCTCTCGCGGGCGGAGCGGTTCGTGGATCTCGTCTCGGAGTCGATCTCCTACCACTACCAGCTGATGTCGAGCATCGTCTGCGACCGCATCCCCAAGCTCTTCACAGATGATGCTTTGAAGGCTCAAAGCATCGTCGTCGAGCGACGCGCGGACGTCGCGATGGGCCAGCTCCGAACGATGCACCACGACCACGCGGACAAGCCGCACTGGTACGTCGGCATCCTGGCCGTCGACCCCCAGCATCAGGGCAAGGGCCTCGGCGCGAAGCTCTGCCGCGCCGTGTCCGCGATGGCGGACAAGGACGGCCTGCCGTGCTACTTGGAGTGCTCCGGCCCGCGGAACCAGGCGCGGAACCGCGCCATCTACACGCACCTCGGCTACGGCGAGGTCGAGTGCTACAAGCTCGCCGACCCCGCCGGGGACGGGGAGCCGTACGAGGAGCTCTACGCCATGGTCCGGCCGGCCTCGACGTGAGTAAAGCAAGCGAGCTCGACTGCAACCCACCGGCACGGACAGCTCGGTGCCGCACGATCGCTTGTGGCAGCCGATGCTCATAGCTCATCAATGGATTCCCAGGCTCTTCGCTCCACGCCACAATCGGTCTACGCGGTTGTAACGGAGTCGTGCAACGGGCGGCCCGTCCAGGCGGCGCTCAAGACCTGGAAAAACATCACGGTCCTCGCGCTCCTGTGCCTGTCGCTCCTCGCCATCGCGCGCGCCGGCGCGCGGCACGCGCGCGCGCGCACCATTGACCCGTTCAGCAGGTCGCGGGCTTCAACTGCGAGAGCATCGTTCGCACCTACGAGCTCACCGAGGGCGTCTGCCCGACCCGCGCGCGCGCCGCGTCCCAAAAAAATCGACGCGCCGCGTCCGAAAAAAAGCTCTCGCTCCGTCGTAGTGCTCGCGAACTTCGACCCGTTTTACCTCAAGTGCGTCGGCGCGCTCTACTGCTTCGGCTTCTGCTGCTGCCCCTGCTGCAAGCTCGACTGCGACACGGCGGAGATCGAGAAGCGGTCGTGCTTCCTCCAGGCGATGCAGCGACGACGGCGCGAGCGCGCGCGAAAGGCGCGCGCGGCCATGGCCGCGAGGAGCGGCGCTTCCGGCGAGCCCGACGGTCTCGAGGGCCTCGAGCTCCTCGGGCGGCGCGACCTCGAGGAGGAGCCGTGAGCGCGCGTGAGACGTCGCGCCGTCATCGGAGGACCTGTTATGTTCGAAAAGCAGCGCCGGGCTGATGTGTTATGTTCCGAGGGGAGGGGGGCGAGGGGGAAAGGGCCGCGAGATGAGGCCTAGAGCTGGGCGCTCTCGCCGTAGCGGGCGTCGTCGACGATTTTCGGGTCAAAGTGGACGTCGGCGAGCGGGTCGTCGGGCATTGCCGGGGCCGGCGGCGGCGGCGGCGGCGCGGGCGGCGCCACGGGCGCCGCGGCGACGGGCTCCGACGCCGCATCCTCGTCGTCGTCGCCCCAGAGCCCCGGCTTGGGCCGGACGACGCGCTTCGTTTTTTTCGGTTCGAACTGGCCAAAGGGCTCCGCGGGCGGAGCCGTCGGGAGCGCGGGCGGCGGCGCCCGCGCCGCGGGCGGCGCCGGCGGCGGCGGCGCCCGCGCGGCGACGACGGGCGCCGCGGCGGCGGCGGGCGCCGCGCGGACCGCGCCCGCGGGCACAG